CTCATGTTCACTGCTGGAAAAATAAACCGTATTATGAAGATAAAGCCTTAATCTTTAGCAATCTGAAGGATTGAGGTTGAAAAAACATATATAATACAATAGAGCATATTGATTAAAGACCCCTCAGATTTCCTACTTCCTATATCTCTGACCGCAACCGTTATTTTACATCAAGGGGCCTATAACTGAGCCCGAGGCACACCATAAAAGATCACTTAAGAACATCCTTAATGTTGTCTCCTTTTTTGCTTCATACTGAAAAACGAAAAGATTATTTACAAAGTATTAGTTTGTATTTTCCTGTAATCTGCGCATTAGGGGATTTTAAAATGTTCATGTAAATACACAGGGAGATAAGATAAATGATATTAGACCTTTACGTGCAGAAAGTGGGAAACTGAGTTAGACAACAATTAAAGACGTAATAATTCTACTATCAAGGATGTGACTTCAATACATGGCCACTACTTTAATAGTTCTATTAATTTATCTCTTTGTTCGTAAACGTAGGTGATGATTAAGATTTATCAGATAAATATCGATGTATATTAAGTAATTAGTGACGCATAATGCCTACTTTTTTTGTACAGTAATCTGCAAACTGAAAGCATACATAAGCTGTGATTAAATTTCATCGCAAAACTCATTTCGTTCAGCGCTAGCTTTTCATCCATTAAACTTTCTGTTTATTCAAATCGGTCATCTTTTCATCAGAGCTATAAGCCGATTATCCTTAAATAGAATTATTCATTGACCAGTATCAGTTCTGTTTGTTTGATATAAATATGCTGGTAGCTCATAGAGCACAAGTGAAGCAAGCTTAGGAACACGAGGCGTAGCCGAGAGTTTCTTCGGCTTCTCGAGTGCTCTACAGCTCCCAAAGTCTTTAGATCACAGTGCAGAGACATAAGCAACCGTTTTATATTACTTTTATATAATATTTTTGAGCAGCTTTGCGCGAGCATCTAATTTCTATCCTCTTATATATTATGACGGTAGTCAGCCAATCAGCGCGCGCGTTATATCTCATGATCAAATATTTTATATTAGAGGACAGAGACACACTCACACAAAACCGTTCAAAAATATTTTATGAAACCAATATAAAAAGGCAGCTTATATCTCCGTACTTTGATATATACACTCCGGGAGTTGCAGAACACTTGCCGGCGAAGCAAGAAAAACACTCGGCTACACCTCGAGTTCCTAAACGTGTTTCTCTCGTGCTTTATAGCTCCCAGCGTTTTTATATCACAGTACAGAGATAAGCGTGTGCGTTTAATATTGTTAATTTCTTAAATAGAGAAAGACAAAAAGAGGTAGAGAGTCAGAAAAACAGTCAGAGAGAGATGCAAAAATGCAAAAAACAAAAACAAAAAAACAAAAAAAAAAAAACACAAAAACAGTGGTTACAAAAGAAGATGAAGTAAATAAATTGAACTAAACGGAATGGATTAATAGATAGCGTTGTTTAATGGGTGGGTAAAAGGGGAGGAAAGGATTGGATTGGATAGGCGGGTGGATAAACGAAGGGATGGTATTTGCATGCATGGAAATTGATAGATAGTAAGTTTTATATATATTTATCTTTTCAAATGGATAGATGACTTAATGGATCTCAAATGATAGACAATTTGGAAGAAAGGCAATCTTGCTGACCCAAAAAATAGTCGTTCACTTTAAGTATATAATGATTCGCCAAAGATAAGATAGTCGTTAGAATTTTGCCATCTGATAAGCAAACTGCAGCCTGATTTAAAGAGGCCTGTAGACACCCAGCGATTAATATTTTTCTGTGAAAAATAAGGAAATTTACGTTTTTTCAACGGAAAAAAGTTGTTATTTTTTTGCAGCATGAAGTTGTCATATTTTTCCCCGTCTAGATCTGAGTCGTAAGAACATGGTGTTTACAATGAAAAACAGTACTTAAAAGAAAWACTATGCTAAATTCGTTTTAATTGAACACTAAGGTTTTTGGCGTGTTTGATCCTTGCTTCTGTGAGCAATTTAGGAAATAAGTATATAGCTACTATCCACCCAGTTCTCCATACTCACCAACCCTAATCAAACTGTCAAAATCTTAGCAGGTTTGAGCCTAATCAACAGCTGGCAAAAATTGAAATTAAAAAAGCGAAAAAAAAAAAAAAGCCTGTCAATGAATAAACATAAAAATAAACCATTGTCGAGTTTTTAGAGCATCTCAATCTTGCATTTCTGCTTTTATCTTTCTGCTATTTAATTAATCCATGGTGTCAGTGTTCAGCGAATAAACAAGTGTAATTAAATATATATGTATATTATCTTTGCTCTTATGCACTAAACTAAAAAAAGAAGCAATCGTAGACTTGCTAGAATAGCTCAATAAGGATTCGACTTAAAACAATTTGATCATAAACATTTTTCATCGACGAAATAAAAAAAGAAGCATTTATATATACGGTGTAGAGATAAATCAAATGCTTGTGATTGATTAATATATTTCAAAAAAGTACAGCGCTTAAGATTTATCATGTCAAAGTGATTTTTTTACCGAATTGTCATAGGAGTCGTTTAAAGTGCCATACTTRCTTGTAAGACTTTCCAAAAGGAGTCACAGCCATTATTGGAAAACAACCAAACGAAGAAAAATATGCATACAATAAATAGACATTAAACTATTTAAAAGGACCTAATATATTATCCTTGGACAAAATATTTTKCTTTGAGTCGTAGGAGTTTTTAAAAACTTCCAAACAAATGGATATAATTTACATGATGTTTTATGAAAAGGGCAAAGGCGCCTTCATTTTGCGATCAGCATGATATAAATCTTAAACAACAACGAGAGGAAAAGCATTTCCTACTGAAGGAGTACTTACACTTTGTTTCACGGTACTCCCATGTTGTTTTAATCAGTGTCAATGTTTTTAAAACGCCTATAACTTAGAGGCAGACAGCAAAGTGCGTTTTAATGGAAGTRGGTTGTGTGTGAGGCAGGAAAAATGAGTTTGAAAAATTATTGCCAAATGAATGATATAGAAGCATTAGAGTCACCGAACAATCAGGCTGGGTATTTGTTTGCTACTTTGATGGTCATTGAAAAACCTTATCTTCATGCACTTCTTTGCAATGAGGRGAACACAAATAGAATAGAATAGAATTTGTATTAAAAAATGAATTAGAAATTGCCATGCTTTTGGGCCCATTTTGATTCATTTTGTTTAATTCATGATAGGAGGTCGCCAACGGAAGATCTAGCACCCATRTCGGAAGAAAATCATAAGCAAATAGATATCGTATCGGGGAAATTGTATATTGTCTGAATTAAAGAATAATCCAAAAAGTAACAGACCGCTCTTACCTAAGTACGTTGCGTCTCACCGGTTRACAAACAACTCGAACGTTCATGTTCATCGTTATATATTTATTCATAAGAGTAGGAAATACAGGCTTGTTGTGGTGAATTTTCTTGCCGTATCAATGAGTCCAGGTTATCAATGTCGCCCCAACATGTACGTGTTAGGATCCTGATATTAGTCTTCGAGCTAAACCTCTGGTACTAACATGTCTGCAATGCAAATGTTGTGAATATAATGACAAAAAATGATATATCGAATTTCCTTTTTATTGAAATTGCTTAGTCTGTATACTCGTATTTCATCAAAAATTCAAGTAAATACTACCTTCGTTTACATATGAAATAATTAAGATTGTTCATAAAAAATATAATAGCCTTGATAAATAATTGAAATTATAGAAGGTTCGAGCTATAGTGTGGTGAACCACTCTAAAAGAAGCGATAAAAAAAATACCCAGTGAGAAAATCACTGGATAAAAAACAACAACACTTCAGTACGCGAGGGAACGATTCCTTTGACAGATTACTTATTAATATTCTATAAAAAACATGGTCATTTTTCAAAGCTTTAATCCATTGGAAAGGAATCTTTTAAGCCAGTTTATCGAAGCCTCCGCGAGAGAAAAATAGTGGTCAATCGACGTTTTCACGACTCAGACGGGAGTTTTAATTGCAGGAAGCGGAATCGAATTCTAAATCCTACCTCCAGGTTTTTGAGATAAAAACCATGTTCTCTGACCATTAATGACTTATTTAATAAAACTCTTAGGCTCAGACAAGTAATCATGAAAGCGGAATTTTTCTCCTCTATGAAAAACCCATATAAAAAAATTGGGATCCATAAAACTGTAATCCTCCACACTTATTCGAAAAGATATTGCGCTTTTTACAAAAACGTGTTATGTATAAGTAGAGTTAATATTAACTCTRGTATAAGCAGGTTCGGTACACGAAGCACAATCGACAAGACTCGTCTTATTTGTAGCCATTTTTTGTACGAACGATAATTCAAAACTGAAAGGAAAAAAGGAYTTAAGCACTCTAAGTTTCCAGATATTAACTCTAGTATAAGCAGGTTCGGTACACGAAGCACAATCGACAAGAGTCGTCTTTGTTTGTAGCCATTTCGTCGTACGAACGATAATTCAAAATCGAATGGARAAAAGGATTTAAGCACTCTGAGTTYCCAGATATTAACTCTGGTATAAGCAGGTTCGGTACACGAAGCACAATCGACAACAGTCGGCTTCTTCGTAGTGATTTCTTTGTACGAACAATAATTCAAAATCGAATGAAAAAAAAAAAAAGGTTTTAAGCACTCTAAGTTTCCTTGGTGAGTTGTGGACATTTCCGTTGTGTTCGTTTTTGACTTAAATCTTTAAAAACAAAACAACCAAAATTTACCGAACAAGTTCCCGTTTTTGGGGGTTTGTTGTTTTTCTTCCTTTTTGTTTTTTTGGTAAAGCATCTAAGAAAAAACTCCTTGACATTGCCTTTGAGATAAAACGAAGCGAATAGCCCACAACATACAGAATAAWTAGAAAACTTGCGTTAAAAATACAGCTACTTCAAAAGACGGATGTTTGTAGGTCACGTGATCAAATTTAACGCAGGCGTGCGTTGGCTTTATAAGTCTAGGTGATCGGCTTTAAAGCCATTTGGCGATTTGTCAGCAGTGAGATCGTCCGTTAAACATCAAGTCATGACGGGTTTATCTCGAGGTTTTAACTTCACTCCCACGTTGAAGTCCACTAATGAAGAAGGATTCGGCAATAGCACGGAAGGTGAACAAATGAGCCCCGTGCTCGTACATATATTCACCACACTTTATCTTTTCGTCGAGATCATTGGAATAGCCGGCAACCTAGCTATCTTAGTTGCTTTCTTCAGGGTTCGCAAGCTGAGGACCAAGATCAATTTTTTCTTGATAAGTTTAGCATTTTCTGATTTGACATTTCTCATTGCTTTTCTTCCTCTACAACTGGAATGGCACTTGAAGAAAATMTTTATTCATTCGTTGCTCGTATGCGAGATGATGTGCACTGTGTATTACTTTATAATCTCTTGTTCCTGCCTTAACCTCATGGCGGTCAGTGGATACCGTTACTTGACCATTTGCTATCCATTCCTCTCCAAGAGAATCGTAAAGAACCAGGTACTCTATGTAGTAGCTCTTATCTGGGCTTATTCTGCAATCACCGCAATGCTCCCAGTCTTAGGATGGCGTTCTCAACCTAGTTCTGTCGATTACCAATTCTGTGATTTCACTTTCGACAGGGGCTTCATTTTTTTTACTATTGGTGTAAACTGGTTTCTGCCGGCTTTAGCCGTCTTTGTGTTTTATGGGCTCATTTTCAGAATTACCCGAATACAAGCCAAGAAAATTGCCAAGAACCAAATCACCTTGGAAAAAAGTGAACGCAAGAGGCGTAATTATCTACTAAAAGGAGCCATCAGCCTCTCGAAAATCGTCGCTGTGTATTTGGTATGCTGGTTGCCATTTATAATTAAGTGTTTTCTTAGCCAGCTAGACAACTATGAGCTAATCCCTTTCGTCTATCACTATCTCATAATGTTCCTTACCTACAGCAATTCGGCGATAAACCCGTTTCTTTACGCAGGACTATGCGAGGACTTCAATTCGGCATTTCGAAAAATCTACAGGCAATTCTTAAGCAGCATGAGGTCAATTGGGAACTCGTCAGGAGACTATCTTAGAACACCATTAAATGTCCTACACCAACGAAGTATAAGCTCCAACCAAAACAATAACATTCAGTTATCAACACAAGTAGGACGAAAAACGTTTGGATCGAGATCATCAYTGTATCAACAAGCAGCGACGATGTTGAGTTCGACAGCTTGATGCGCTACGACTAGATTTCCAGCCTATACTAGACACTAAATAAAGATAATTGTTTATTCATTTTTTATTTTGGCCGGCAATACGATGTCAAAGCTACTTGGCAAAGTCAGTATAACTTGCTTGAGTGATAATAGGAGACAACAGCTAGCGATGAATAATTGCTCTATTGAGGCTACTTGGGAAAGTATTAGTAACAAYTGTATACATTGAAACCGAAAAGAAAGAAAGCTAAACCGACAGATAACTTAGCAAAGTAGCGATTGCATGTTAGCAAGCATAAGATAGCAAAGAACAAAATACAGTGGGAAAAAATGAATAAATGAATCGATGAATGAATGAATGGAAGAATGAATGAAGGAAGGAAGGAAGGAAGGAAGGAAGGAAGGAGTGGATGGATGAATGAATGAATGAATGAATGAATGAATGAATGAATGAATGAATGAATGGATGAGTAGATGAATGAATGAATGAACCATAGAACGAACGAACGTACGATCGAATGAAAAGAACGAATGAAGGAATGGATGGTTGCGGACGAACCCTGGAATGGAAAGAAGGAACGAAATAAATTCTATAAATAAAAAGTACTAAAAGTTATAACAAAAAAGAGCAGAAAGAAGAAAGAAGAAAAAAGAAAAAATCAAAATCAAAAAACAAAAAACAAACAAAAACAAAAAAACGAATGAACACACACACACACACACACAAAGAAATGTAAACTAACCCTCTTTATTGACATACTGATTTGTCTAACAAAAACCTCTATTTCTACTTGATCTATAAACTTGTGGTAGACCATAAAAATATTAACGGAAGTAATTCCTTAGCGAATYTAAAAGATAAATTTATTAACGATACAAAAGAAGCATGGAAGCAGTTGAAGAAAATAATCTAGGAAAATACATWTTCGTATCAATTGCGCAGCTGAAATGTTTCCTATTAAAACCAAATGCAAAAAAGRAAAAAAAACGTCTTTGGTTCGAGATCTGATGGAATGAACGATCTGAGTTTGAACGGAATTTTTGTTATTTAATGTTTTGGGRCTAAAATAATACGAAAAATCATTTTTCTCAAAGCTTGTGCCTYATGCATATTCCAATCCGTAAAGGAAACTACGTTGTTCGGCAGTGAATGTATTAAAACTTGAATCGTGCTACTCGTTCTCAGATTTCAGATCTCCAACTGACAACGTTTTTTGAAAAAGCTAAGGTTTCAAGTATWAATGTATGGTGCCTGTTGAGAAATTTTCGGTGATAATAAATGAGAAAGAAATTTAAATCTAAAAATAAAGGTAAACGAAACAAAAAAAAAAAAATTAGAAAGTAAAATTTTCTGGTAGTCTTCTCGGCGGTATAATTAAGCTCCAAAAACGCAAACGATCAATAGTCTCATTTAAAATTCCTATGACAACTTTTAATCCTAGCCTAGCTCTTAGTTTCACTATTTAAATGGTATTCTAATAACAAAATAAGGTAATCATGGCAACTTATTGARTTTGAAATACGTTTAGTTTTCAGTTCCTCTAGAATTCTAAAATGTGGAAGTAAAAAGACTGTTGTGTTTGAAGTATGTGTGTTTGCKGTATATATGGCCATAAGATTTAGTACGCACGCGTCAGACTATAGCTGTGGGGCATATTTATTGTATTATTTATTAAATCAAATTTGAAACATAGAATAAACTGGATAAATGATATTTCTTGTTTTAATACATTTTAACCAAATAGGGGACCCAGAAATGTTGATGTTGAAGCTCCTCCTTCCCCCACTCCACCCCCACTCCACCCCCACTCCACCCCAGCCCAGCCCACTCCCTTCAAAAATGGTGTGCTTTTCTGATGCTCCCTCGAGCAAAGCTGAAACCAATAACCTTGGAGATTTGTTAGACCTATAAGATCGTA